AAAAAAAAAGAACTGCCTGGGGAACTTTAAATATAAGGTGCCCAGGAGTGGAGTTTTGACTGGGCATTGCCATGTTTAAGAGTCTTCTCATGTGCATATAATTTGCAGTCATGTGAGTGAACCACTGAGGTAGGAGATGAACTACAAAGAACAGTGACTGAGAATATCATTGAATATTGGAGCAAAGCACACTACATGGTGCATTGGGTGTGGGTGGCCAGGTGCCTTCCCTATTCTGCCTCCACTTCTTCTTATGCCAGAGGCCTTCTCCCAGCTTCTCCTCTCTAGCCTCCAGAAGAACTACCTCCTCTGGTGGACCTTGATCCCCACGGGAATTCTTCCTTATGCTACCACCTCTCTTCTGGCTTTGGAAAACTCCCAAGAGACTGTGTCTCCATAAACCCATAATGAGTGGAGAGTCTAGAATGGCTCTGATACTAGGGTCAGGCTTTCAAAGAAGAAAGCTGTTCCCACCAACACAATGGGCATGAGCACAATGCAGAGGATGCTGAGCTGTCCCAGGATCTAAGATAATAGTTTCAGGACAGTGAGCTCTAGGAATGACAGGAAGCTGTGTTCAGTAAATAGCTGACTTCCATTTCATGTCTGTCCTGGCTTTTGTGACAACTTTGTTCACCTCCTTTCCTTTCTTACCTCTCTCCAGGAATTTGAGAATTTCATTGCCAAGTTTGGAGACTCTGGTTTTGTCCTTGTGGCCCTGGGCTCCATGGTGAACATCTTTCAGTCCCCGGAGCTTCTCAAGGAGATGAACAGTGCCTTTGCTCATCTTCCTCAAGGGGTGATATGGAAGTGTAAGCCTTCTCATTGGCCCAAAGATATCAAATTGGCAGCAAATGTTAAAATTGTGGACTGGCTTCCTCAGAGTGACCTCCTGGGTAAGGAATACGCAGATCTTCTTCTCTCATCTTGTTTACATGTCTTTAGGGCTCATCAGATCTCTGACCTCTAGATGGGTAATCAATCCCAGGAACGTGAAAAGGAGCTTCTGCTAGCTAAGAGTAAGTCTCCAGAGGGCAGGAATGGAGCAGGCAGCTGGAGTTCTTGGGGAATCAGGTTATACTTTCAGTGAGATCAGATTCCATAACACCCTTCTCAAGTTTATTATTTGTTATCCCAGGCCAGATGTCAGCAGCCAGCAAAGTCACACTGACATAATACATGTGTCTTGAACAAGGTCACTCAAACACAATCCCAAGTAACCTGTGAATTCTGAGAACACATACCAGGGGCACGTTTCTACTGTATTTAGTATCTTCATGTGCACCTGTTCTTCCATGTATCCTTACACACACTCACACAGACACACAGACACACAGTTACATCCTGCTTAGCTCCTAAGCTGTGAGCATTCAAATCTTCACAACATTGATGCTCACAGCGTCTTTAGGATGTGCCAAAATCCTTGAGTGCCAAGCTAAGCAACCTCATAGCCAGTTCTTTGGTCCATTTTGTCTCTGGGTCCAGAGCATCCCCTCACTCCCCAACAAGTTTGCTCTGTGCCCCCTGATGCTTCTTAGAGTCTCCTCACTGCCATAGCTGCTCCCTGGATCAGACAGTCTTAACCAGGATAATGAGTCAACATCATTTGTGGAATTTAAGGATCATATTCCTGGTTCCACTTCTGCAAAAGTGTTCCTCTAAGTTTGGGCTGGGGCGCATAATTCTCATTTCAAACTAGACACAAGGAGATTATGATGCACATCCCAGATGAGTGGCACAGGCTGAGATGAACTCTTTATTGTCAACAATCATTTTAGTTATCTGTAAGTAAGGGAGGGATGGAAACACTGGAACTAGAAATATTGAGGTGTAGGGTCTCATCTCTGCTTTCAATGGTGTTCTCATAAATTTGGGAGACACACGTACAGTATAGTTTTATGAGTGCCACATATGCTGTGATGTCAATGAATGTGTCAGGAATTCAGAGAAGAGGGAAATTAGTCGGCAGCTGAGAAAAGATTGCTCAAAACACAGAGAGAGACAGAGACAGAGACACAGGGAGATATAAGAAAAAGCAAATGAGAGAAACAAAGAAAGGCACTGGGAGGATAGACACAAGGATGGCTGGCTGGATGCATGGAGATATATGCCTTGCTAAGCACTATTCTCTACAGAATTTGCTGGATTCTCAGTCTGAGTTGGGTACTGTCTTTGGCAAGGAGTCTATGTATAAAGGCAAGACTTGGAGTCCTGTATGTTGGAACATGCACCTTGAAGGTGTCCCAAGCAAAGTTATCTTTACTATGGTTCCAACACACTTTGAGAATCCATCGTTATTTTCTTCTGCACTTTCTGCTTTGCCTGGTTTTCTGAAACTTTTCATCCTGAAATGTTCTGCTCTCTTTCTTATTTGCAACAGCTCACCCGCACATCCGTCTCTTTGTCACCCATGGTGGGATAAATAGCATCATGGAGGCCATCCAACATGGCGTGCCCATGGTGGGGATTCCCATCTTTGGAGACCAGCCTGAAAACCTGCTCCGAGTAGAAGCCAAAAAGTTTGGTGTCTCTATCCAGGTAAAGCAGATCAAGGCTGAGACACTGGCTCTGAGGATGAAGCAAGTCATAGAAGACAAGAGGTATGCGGGTCTCTGGGCTTGTGGTCACATAGGGTGAATGAAGACTTCAGACATGAAGGACACTGTGTAGTCCTTTTTTGCAATGAAAACGGAAACTTACTGGATATGGAATAATTTGTGTGTGATGCTAACAGCTGCCCTCTTTAACTGAGGGCAATTTTAGGCAATTAAGTTTAGATGCTGAGAATAATTTTCCACTTTATGGGTTGTGAGGAACTCAAACTGCTTACCCAGGGTCTCTGAGAAGTTTTATACTTTGGGCTGCTTATAGTAGAATTCCAAATGAGCAGGAGGTAACCATTGTGTCCCCGGAAGGCCACACTGTTGTCTACCTCAGGACCTTTTTCTGTGCTGCTCTCAGGAACACTCCTTCACTCCTCTTCACAGGCTTGGCTCCTTCATCACATTTGGGTCTCATCTCCAGTGTCACCTCCTCAGAGAGGCCATCTTTTTTTGTCAGTCTTATTTAGACTCCTCTTTTGCTGACTCCAATAGTAGTTCATTATTTCCTTCTTAACACTTCTCAGGATCTGTATAACTCCATTTCTTTATGTTTTAATTTATTCTCTGTCCCCCACACTAGAAAGTAGAGAGTGAGCACTCCGCCTGGGAGAGCAGTGTGTGTCTTTTGTTTTCCACAATGTTCCCAGGGTCTAGCATAGGGCCTGCCACAAGGTAAGTCTGAAGGAATGTCTGTTAAGTGAGTTGATAAAAATTCCCATTGATCTCTTAGGTTACTTCCCATCCAGCACAACGATCTCATGTAAAGAGAAAAATATGTATATATTTTTCTTATAACTAAGACGGACTTAATACTTGGAGTTCAAGGGCCCAAACCCAAATCGGACCTCAAGACCTAACATATTACGTTGCATATAAGAGCCCCGCAAGCAGTTCTTCTCAGATGACTGAAAAACAGCCACATAGGTTGTGATTCTTGATTCTAGAAAATGTGTTAATCTCCAGGGGTCAGAAAACTCAGAAATTTTATATATATTTGGTATCTTATGTGTTGCAAATATTCATTCTCTGAAAAATGGTTTTATAACTTTCATTGGATTTTCAAAGACAGACCCAAAATGGCCATGAACCACTGGCCCCTGTGAAGGAGTCATTGGGGCTGGGATGGACCCCAGACCTCGTGCATCAGGGCCGGTGCATAACTTGTGGGGCCCGATGTTACAAGGAAATGTACAGCCCCTTGTTATAAGGTTTTAATGTTTCAAGAAGGTGATAGCAGAGAACTAAATCATCACAGGACCCGTGTAAGTGGGGCCCTGTGCAAATATGCAGGCCAGAGCCCATGGAGCAGGTGCTGGTGAACATGATACTCTGAAGGGCAGGAAAGTGCAGGTGTCCTCCAGGGCCACAGTCTCCAGAGTCATATCTGTCACCTACCCAGACACCAGCACAAATTAGGTGCTCAATATATATATAATAATTACATCATATTAATTTCCTTTTTCTTTTTTTCTGGATTTTTTTTAATGGTATGGATGGTGATCATTTGTGCCACTTTTTTTTTTCCTTTTTCTATTGAGGTAACATTGGTTTATAACATTATATAAATTTCAGGTGTACATCATTTATATTTCAGTTTCTGTATAAACTGCATGATGTCCACCATCCAAAGACTAATTACCATCCATCACTGCACACATGTGCCCTATCCCTCCTTTTGCCCTTCTCCCTCCCCACTTCCCGTCTGGTAACCACCAAATTAATCCCTGTCTCTATGTGATTGTTTGCTGTTGCTTTTATCTTCTACATATGAGTGAGATCATACGGTATTTGACTTTCTCCCTCTGACTTATTTCACTTAGCATAATACCCTCAAGGTCCATACATGTTGTCACAAACGGCAAGATTTCATTCTTTTTCAGCTCAGAAGTATTCCATTGTGTATGTATACCACACCTTCTTTATCCATTCATCTGTTGATGGGCACTTAAGTTGTTTCCAAGTCTTGGCTATTGTAAATAATGGTTGAATGAGCAGAGCTGTGCGTATATCTTTACGCATTCACGTTTCCATGTTCTTTGGATAAATACCCGGCAGTGAAATAGCTGGGTCATATGGTAGTTTTATTCCTAATTTTTTAAGGAATCTCCATAATTTTTTCCATAGTGGCTGCACGAGTTTGCATTTGCACCAGCAGCACGTGAGGGTTCTCGTCTCTCCACATCCTCTCCAAGACTTATTTCTTGACTTGTTAATTATAGCTATTCTGATGGGTGTGAGGTGATATGTCATTGTAGTTTTGGTTTGCATTTCCTTAAAAATTAGTGATGTTGAACATCTTTTCATGTATCTGTTGCCCATCTGTATATCCTTTTTGGAAAAATGTCTATTCAGGTCCTTTGCCCATTTTTTAATTGGCTTATTTGTTTCTTTGTTGTTGAGTTGCATGAGTTCCTTATATATTTTGGGTATTAACTCTTTTTCAGATATATGGTTTGCAAATATCTTCTCCCAATTGTTAGGTTGTCTTTTTCTCTTGCTGAGGGTATCCTTTGTTGTACAGAAGTTTTTAGTTTGATGTAGTCTCATTTGTTTATTTTTTCTTCTCTTTCTCTTGCCTGGTGAGATATGATCTTTGAAAAGATACTGCTAAGACTGATGTCGAAGAGCGTACTGCCTATGTTTTCTTCTGTGTTATGGTTTCATGTCTTACATTCAAGTCTTTAATCCATTTTGAGTTAATTTTTGTGTATGGTGCAAGATAATGGTCTACTTTCATTCTTTTGCGTGTGGCTATCTGGTTTTCCCAACATCATTTATTGATGAGGCTATAATTTCTCCATTGTATGTTCTTGGCTCTCTTGTCAAAAATTAGCTGTCTATAGATGCATGGGTTTATTTCTGGGATCTTGATTCTGTTCCATTGATCTATTTGTCTGTCTTTCTGCCAGTAGCCTGCTGTTTTGATTACTATAGGTTTGTAGTATATTTTGAAATCAGGGAGTGTGACACCTCCAGCTTTGTTCTTTTTTCTCAAGATTGCTTTGGCCATTTGGGGTCTTTTTTTGTTCCATATAAATTTTAAGATTCTTTGTTCTATATCTGTGAAAAGTGTTGTTGGGACTTTGATAGCAATTGCATTGAATCTGTAGATTGCTTTAGAAAGTATGGACATTTTAACTATGTTAATTCTTCCAATCCATGAGCATGGAATATCTTTCCATTTTTTGTGTCGTCTTCAATTTCTTTCAACAATGATTTACAGTTTTCAGTGTAGAGGTCTTTCACGCTTTTGTTTAAATTTATTCCTGGGTATTTTATTCTTTTTGTTACCATTGAATATGCGATTGTATTCTTAATTTCTCTTTCTGTTACTTCATTGTTAGCGTATAGAAATGCAACTGATTTTTATATGTGTATTTTATATCCTGCAACTTTACTTTATTCATTTGTTATTTCTAATAGTTTTTTGGTATATTCTTTAGGGTTTTCTGTATATAAAATCATATTATCTGCAAATAGTGGCAGTTTTGCTTCTTCCTTTCCAGTTTGGATCCCCCGTACTTCTTTTTCTTGCCTGATTGCTCTGGCTAGGACTTCCAATATTATGTTAAATAAGAGTGTTGCAAGTAGGCATCCTTGTCTAGTTCCTCTTCTTAAAGGGATAGCTTTCAGTTTTTCCCCCTTGAGTATGATATTAGCTGTGGGTTTGTCATATATGGCCGTTATTATGTTGAGGTACTTTCCTTTTATACCTATTTTATTCAGAGTTTTTATCATAAATGGATGCCGTATCTTGTCAAATGTTTTCTCTTCGTCTATTGAGATTATCCTGTGATTTTCATTCTTCATTTTGTTAATGTGGTGTATCACGTCGATTGATTTGTGGATGTTGAACAATCCCTGCATCCCTGGACTAAATCTCACTTGATCATGGTGTATGATCTTTTAAACATATTGTTGTGCTCAATTTGCTAGCATTTTGTTGAGGATTTTTGCATCTGGGTTCATCAGTGATATTGGCCTGCAATTTTCTTTTTTGCGTTCACTTTGTCTGCTTTTCAGATCAGGGTAATTGTCTTCACAGAATGTTTTAGGAAGCTTTCCCTCCTCTTTGACCTTTTGGAAGAGTTTGAGAAGGATAGATATTAAGTCTTCTTTGAATGTTTGGTAGAATTCACTGGGGAAATCTGTCTGGTCCTGGAATTTTGTTTTTTGGGAGGTTTTTGATTACTGTTTCAGTCTCATTACTGGTGATCTGTCTATTCAAATTCTCTATCTCTTCTAGATTCAGTTTTAGAAGTTTGTATGATTCCAAGAATTTATCCATTTCTTCCAGATTATCCAATTTGTTGGCATTTAGCTTTGCATAGTAGTCACGTCTAATCTTTTGTATGTCTCTGCTATCTGTTGTAATTTCTCCTCTTTGGTTTCTGATTTTATTTATTTGAGCCTTCTCTCTTTTTTTCTTAGTCTGGCTAAAGGTTTGTCAATTTTGTTTATCTTTTCATAGCGCTAGCTCTTAATTTCATTGATTTTTTTCTGTTATTTTTGAGTCTCTGTTTCAGTTATTTCTGCTCTGATTTTATTATTTCCTTCCTTGTACTGATTCTGGGCTCTGTTTGCTCTTCTTTTTCTAGTTCCTTTAGGTGTACTGTTAGAAGGTTTATTTGAGATTTTTCTGGCTTTTTTGAATTTCTTATAGTATATCATAAGCCTCTTTGGGGTAGAGACAAGTCCATACAAATGAGTCACTTTTTTATACTTTAGCACTTTTACCACTAAGCATGGAAGGTTGCATGCATGCACCAGTTGTAACTTTTCAAGGGGACCTAGTAAGACAATGGCTAGGCCAGGCCAAAAACTATGCCTTCAAGCAGAGCCTTTTGTGCATATGGTGGAAAGTATATGTGTGGGATAGAAAGTTTTTAAGGCTCCTAAGACCACATGAGTTTTACCCCACCCCCCTGTGTCTCTGCCAACAGGTACAAATCTGCAGCAGTGGCAGCCAGCATCATCACGCGCTCCCACCCCCTGACCCCTGCCCAGAGGCTGGTGGGCTGGACCAACCACATCCTCCAGACAGGGGGTGCTGCACACCTCAAGCCCCACGCCTTCCAGCAGCTGTGGTATGAGCAGTACTTGCTCGACGTCTTCTTGTTCCTGCTGGTGGTCACTGTGGGCACCGTGTGGCTCTGTGGGAAGCTGTTCGGCGTGGCGGCCAGGTGGCTTTGTTGGCCCAGGAAGCTGAAGAAGGCTTGATGCCAAGGGTATCCTGGGGGGCTGTATTTGAGGGAGAGCGACCATTTCATGGGAGCTTCCCACCTGATCTCCACATCATATCCACTTGCTAATTTTGCTACAAATTACTGCTCACTGGCTGCTCCCTATGATCAGATTTCTTTACTCAGCACTTGTGGTCTTCTATATTTGCCAGTCAGTAAGGGCTGTTCTGTGATTCTGTCCCTGAGTCATTTGGACCAGTGACTCTCAGACTTTAAGCCTTGAAGCCCACCTTCCTTATCACACCCCTCTTCCAGACACTGAGCCTGAACCATTCCAGTCTCCATGGCTAGTATCTTCTGAGCCTCTTTCTCTCTCTCCCGCCTCCACCACTTGTCATGGAATAAGACCTAAGATGCGTGCTTTCCTAAATGTTGCATTTTTCATTTGCTACTTCTGCAAACTCTCTTAAATTAAGGAAACCTGTCCTGCACATATGCCTTCAGAGCCAAACCACCCTTGCAGGACAATGTGTATCTCCTGTCTTGGTTCCCACAGAGAGCTCCTTCTTGTCTGGTCAGGCATGGAGCCTGCAGGTTCATCATGGGCTGAAGTGGCCTTGGTCTCCACGTTTCATAGCAGTCAGCTCTCTTTCAATTTTCCTGTTAAGCACTCAAAGTCATGAGAAAAAGGTTATTTATTTTTAATCTAAGGGTGCGTTTGTGCCTCTTGAGGGTTGAGCCTTTCTATATGTGATATATTCTTGGGAATTGCATCCACTTAATAGTAATAGAAACCAGGAAAAAAGGGGATATGACAGCTTTAGAGTTTTCTTCTCTTTTCTTTCTTTCTTTTTTTTTTCTCATGTAAAAGACATCTGCAGGTAGGCAGGCAGTGCATGATTGCCATTGTTGCTCCATGATGTATTCAAGAGTTCAGATTTCCTCTTTGGTTGATCTGTCTTCCTTAATATATGGTTTTCATCCTCAAGGTCACCCTAGATTTTCATGATGGTCTTTTTTTAAGCAGCTGGCACGTGGTAATTTGGGCAAGACAAGTGGAAATTGAGTAAAGTGAATAAAGCAGGTCCCTGCCAGCTGAGTTGCCTTCTTTAAAGAGATTTCCCAGACTCTCCAGCTACCCAAAGACTCCACTTAAACCCCTTTGACCAGACCTGAGTCGTATGAACACTCCCAGCTGCACAAAAAGTCTTAGAAATGGCTCCCACCCCCAGCTGCTGGGGTGGGGTTCTTAGAAAGAAAAACAAAGGACAATGAATGATGGGAGGAAACTAGCGCCTTGACCACATGTGGAGTGCAGGCAGGGAGGGGCTGGATTGGAGGTTTTGTTCCACCTGTGACCCTGTGACTCAGTGACCTCAGGGGTAGTCTTACAACCACTGTAACTGCTTGTGGGTGGAAAGCAGACCTTTCAGAGTGGTGAACATGCAAAATAGGAACAGCAGTCATTTACCATGGTGATGTGTATTACGCTATCCAAGTCCTTTCCTCTCATTTCTGCCGTGTAGTGGGGTAGATATGTCTAATCAGCCCAACCCAAAGAAGCAGGCACCAGCAGGGGCGATCACAGATGGAGAGGGAGCCGTTGTGCAAATGGAGGCAACAGCAACAAAACCTGCTGCCTTCTCCAACCCAGGCACAGGGCTTGGGGAGTGGAGATGGGCTGGTTTTAGCCCCCACTGGTCCTCCCTGTGGGCATGTCCTTGCAAGAAGAACCTGCCCTAGCACATGGTGGTCCTGGCTGTTGGACCCTCCCACCCAGGGTGATTCTATGCCCATGCAGGCAGAGGGGGGTTTGATCGCTAAGGTATTCTCTTGGGATATTTTGTTTTACGGGCATTTTTTCTTGCCCCTAAGACCTAGGGAGGCTCCTTTCTCCATGCCAGCCTTTAAGTTAGTTAATCATTTATTTTTTATAAGTATTCAAATGAAATATTCAGAACTTTAGACACACATATGTCCAGAGTGGATTTTCTACAAATTTCATCTCAAGATAACAGTAAATAATAATCAGATAGCACTTGCGCTAGAGATTTAGGGTTTTTCTTTTTCCTGATTAAAAATTCAAGATGAATTTTGAGAGATCTTTTTGTGTTAGGACAAATGCAAAGAAGAGAAGCTTCCACAAACAAGGGCTGTGGACACCTCCAGGTGATGGGGCCCCCTCCCTCGTCTGTAAATGAGATCCTTGAGAGGGATGGCTCCCAGTGACCACTCTTCCTTTCTCATTTATGGTATTGAGAGGTGAGCTTGGTCCTCTACAGAGATTTTACAAACGAGCAAGCCTACAAAATATAACAGGAAAGGGTGCCAGAAAAGATGGAAAGACCAAATGATAGTTTATTTCACATCACTCTTTCCCCTTGTTATAATTTGTCTCCAGGAATTTTACTGAGCTGGGCTTTATTGTTCCGTATTCCTTTAGTGACGATTTATGAACTTTATATTGTCTTAGAACAAAGATATTGTCATTGGGAAATCAACTAGCGACAAGGAACAGAAAGTCTCAGTGGAGGGACTTAAGTCAGTGGCCTTCCACCTGGGCTCTCTGTACCTTCATGTGTGTGTGAAGACTTCTCCAGAGCTGCATGGTACAGAGCATCTGGAGATGATAAGTCTCTAACTGCGCGTACTCTAGTTTCGTAACAGTGGTCTGCCTAACAATGTATGGTGTTTGGCTGGTGGAGTCTCTTTCCTGCCACACTTTTCACAATTTCCTGACTCTTATTTTACAAAGAAATGTATACCTTTTACCCATCCCTACTCTCACTGTGGTGCATTGCCCCAGGGTGGAAAAACAGGGGTACCAAATGCAGAGTCTGAAATCTAGTGACTGAGCAAGAAACCTTTTGTCATTAAAATGATTTGCAATTCTTTGTTTTTAACAAAATTCAAGAATAAACTGTGATTTTTCAGCTGCTTGTCCGTTAAAAGTAACTTTTGATGATGGATTGCTCTGAGATTTTTGGCATAATATTCTGAAGGTTTTCAAAGAATTGATGCACATCATTTTCAAGATGCTCATAACAAAACTTCTCTATTGTGCTACTTACTGATGTGAATAATTATTTCAATGTTTACATAATGAAGAGATATAGATATAAACTGTCTCATTCCAGAAGTATAGAATATTTGTCTATGAGTTAATTTGCAAAGAATTGAAAAATAGCCCCTTATCTCATTGTGAGATGTGTATTTTGTGTTTGGTAATCATTAATCAAATTAGAAATATGTTTATGTTTCTTTGACTAATTTGATGCAATTATTAAAACTTAGAATGAGAACTTGGTGAACACCTGCAACTCTTAGAGCCTTATTGTTATAGGAAATAAGAATATTAATTTTAATTAGAATATGTATTTTTGATGCTTAAGCGTATAATAGAATACTCACTACAATTCTTTCAAGCATAAACATACATAGAGTAGAATTAAATTCTCTGGGGAAAGTGGAATAGAAACAAATTGAAGAAGAAAATGGAATGATGTATGATTTGCCACTGATAATTTGAAGCTTATTTATCTATGTCAAGAATGGATGATGGTATCAAACTGCTGAGACATTTATGACACTCCATCTATTGAACAGAGTGATGTGTTTACTTTAAAATCACAATATTTCAATGCATCAGAAAACATCCTACTCAGTTATTTAACTTTTGATGAGAAATTTTAAAGTCAATTGAAAAATTTATTCTTACTAAAGTATTGTTAGGTATAGTTGATAAAAAAATTGGAAATCACAATTTTTTTGTCATTGACTTACACAAAAGGAGGGTTATTTTTCCTACATAAAAGTAGATGGGAAGTAAGCGACTGCTGGCATTGTTTTAATAGCTGTATAATGTCAAAAAGAGTGTGTTTACAATTCTTGCCCATTAACTCATGGTTGCAAGATGGCTGCCCAGCTCCAGATGTCATATCCATGTTCCAAGGAGAAGAGGCCATGTGAGCTACATGTACCCCTTTGATCATGAAAGGAAATGTTTTCGCATAATTACATTCCCCCCTCCACCCAGCCACGAGACTTCTGTCCTCATTGCCCAGAATTCTGTCACCTGGCTACTCAAGGCTATAAGAGAAGCTGGGAAAATCTCTGCATTGGCAGGTGGGGAGGACAAACAGAGCAGGAAGGGGGTTTGGGTTAACCAACCTGTAATGTCTGAAGCACAGGAAAATGGCTAAAAACCCTCCACAATGCTTGACAATTCATAGCACAATATTTTGTGTTCTGATGTTTTGTCCTGGTCTATATCTATACACGGAAGCAGCCTGCAATCTTGGACATGATAGAAAGTAAAACCTTCTGTCTCTTGGTTATAGTCTCTGGCAGGGCCTGAGGAAACACCTGGCCCAGAGTTGGCCTCAATGACTTTCTAAGTGCGATGGGGACCACAGGCAGAGAGAGGGAGGGGATGATCTCCATCATGGAGCCCCAGCCCTCGATTCCTGTGCAGATGAGAAGGGGGAACAGAATTGTGGCTGTTGATTCCAAGGACAGCACAGAGAGTGTTGTGTGCTGTCCTTCAGGGACTATTGCCACAATCCAGTGGGCACTAAGCCTTAAGTGGTATAAGAACGGTGAAAGTCACCCAATTTGGTGTTCTGTAGAACATATGATTTGCAAATGGACTCTCTTTTCAATGAGCAGGGCTCTGAAATCTTCTGTGCTAAAGACTTTGTACTAGTGACCAGGGGGTGAGTATCAACATCAAAATGTCCCCACACGTGCAGGAGAATGGGGACTTTAGACTTCTTAATAGGTGCTAGAATCTGAGCATTCATGCATACTGGCCCTTTATTAAACCTACCCCACTCTTTGCCAACCTCCTCCCCTTTGTCTGGCATTAAGGTTTATAAAATACTCGAGTAGATATCAGGATGGAGAAATGGAGCATGCCACAGGACCTTTTCTCCCTGCATGGCCCTTATGAACTACATGTAAATCAATGCCATACACACTATAAAGATCAACAAAAAGAGCAAATAAAGCCCACATCTTCCCACAAGTAGAAAACTCAACATCAGATTTTAGCAGAGCTATCTCCTGAACTCATGCTAGAAG